TGAATTCGAATTCTGAATAACGACATCTCCATATATGGGACAGAATATCGATCTTGCATTCCGGGAGCTAATCCTTCTTGTTAACTTTGAACTTGACAAAAGTATGTATTTTAAGTTGTATGACAAAAGAGATGACCTTGGTTTTCCATATAAACAATATATTTTATTTATTTCAGGCGTAATCATCACATGATCGATAGTTCAAAAGCGAACATCCAAAGAAGCAAAGTCTTAAAACTTGAGTAAGCAAACGAAACAAATAAATAGCCGTCAAGGAGTACAATCGATCATCTTCTTGCACAGCTAATTGCGAGGTCTCCGTCCCCATCAACATTAGTTATCGAAGGAAACGTTAATGAAGTTAAATTTTTCTTCAATAACAAGTGGATGTAGTCCTTCCCTCGTAGCGGGTTTTATTTTCTTTATTTATAAGGTCGGCCAGTCGATATTAGAACCGTGCGTCCGGGTCTACATTTACGACTGCGTTTGTTTAGAAGATATTGCATTTAATGCCAGCATCTGTAACGACCTAAAGAACTTCCCAATGCTAGGGGAAGAGGTGGAAGTCATCACAGCCAAGTACACAATGATCTATCGCCTGCTTCTGAATTTACCCGCTATTGGACTGGGGTTATTTTGCGGAGCTTGGTCGGACAAAGTTGGTCGGAAGCTACCTGTAATGATTCCATGTTTCGGGGTGATGATTGGTGGGCTGTCATACATGATTTCAACATTCAACTTAATCCCTTCAATCATACTTGTATTGTTCGGCTCGGCAGTGATAGGAATGTTTGGGAAAAGTGCGGTCATTACGATGGCAATCCACAGCTATGTTATTGATGTGAGCGAAAAGGAAGATCGTACTAAAGTGCTGAGCAGGCTCTTGGCAATGAACTTCTTTGGAGTATGCATAGGGTCCGTCGTTACCGGGGTACTGATTGATGCTGTCGAATTTAGCCACATATTTTTAGCTGTCATATTGATAGATTTGTTAGTTATTGTGATGACCGCTCTTTGTATGAAGGAAACTGTATTTGATGGGCAGGGCGAAAGACCAAAACTTAACTGTCGCATTTTTAGTATCTCACATATCAGGGATTCTGTTTATGTCCTCTTTGACACGAGATCACATCACCTTCGAACGTATTTGTTGGTTTTATTCGTGACAATTTTACTCCAACAGACAGCAAAAGCTGGTGAACAGGACATTACTTTGTTATACGTCGAACATAAGCCATTTTATTGGGACAAAGCTTGGTATGGATACCTTCTTGCCGTTGATTTTGCGACCTTTGGAATCTACTTGTTTTTCGTTCTACCTTTTCTAACAAACGCGCTCAAATTGAATGATGCTACACTTATAATGATAGGGATTGTATTCAAAATATTGAGATTAGTTCTTATGGCATTCGGTACAAAATCATGGATCATCTATTTAGCATTTGTGCTTGGTTCACCATGCGCTATGATAGTGTCAGGAGCCAAATCCATGATAAGTAAAATAGTCTCAGAAAAAGAAATTGGAAAAGTATTTTCCTTGATAGCATGTGGCGAAACTCTATCTAATCTTATAGGATCATTTTCATTCAATAGCGTATACATAGGGACTTTTACAATATTTTCTGGAACTACTTTTCTTATAGACGCTGGGTTGTTTCTTTTTCTTCTTTTAGGTATATTTCTTTTGCATCGAGATATGCGTCTGATGTCACATCACCATCTACTCGATGAAGAACCTATCAACAGTCCTAACGACTTCCCAAACTACGGGACTGCTATCGTGCCCGATAATCGGACAAAGTGAACGGTGAGGGGGCGGGGGGGGGGGGGGTAGGCGACTTCTGCCACGATTAAAATTCAGCAAAACTGAAAGATTTATTTTTTCAAGAGAAAGTTTAGAATTATGAAATTGTATGTGACAAATTGTGCAAAACTATGTTTTGTTGCACAAAAACTAATTGAAATAGCTGAATGGATTGCGACTTCAACTTGATATTAAGAAGTATTCACTTGCTCAATGCCTTCGATGACAATTTCTATGCTTAAACACCATCCTCAGTCTAAGAAAATGAATGGAAAATGTTCGAAAGTATGAACAAAATAATAATGATATACTTACATGTACCTTGTCTGTTTACAAAAGTAAAACTTGGTGAAACTTGGATTATGAGGACGATAATATTCATTTTCACTGGAACAGCTACTCCCCGTGTATAGTTTATTATATATTGAGGATCTTTTCATTTGAAATCTTAATAATAGATGGGAATTAAGAGACAATACCCGGGAATCGACACTACATGCAAAATTCCGCCTCATTATCTATGATCAGTATAATCTGTTTCAGTACCTGCATGTCAGTGGCTGGGCGGAGGTTCGAATAGTAATTATAATGGCTTGAATTATTGAATAAATAGGCGCACGGTATGGTGAAATATGTTAAGGTCGTTTAGGACTTTTGAACTGATAGGCTTCTATGATTTGGGATCTATCAAAAAGGCGCAACTTTCACTTTCCTCACTCTAATTTAACAGCCATAGACACAGGCTGGTATTGAAAGATTTGTCCGCTGTGATGGAGCATGCTATTTTTCATAAAAACACTAAAAATACTTCACGAATTATTTTTTAACTCATATGTTTCGTTATATCAAAGAAAATTACTTACTCCATGAATTGGATATATCGTTAGTGGGCAACCTTCACTTCGGTTTGAAGTCCAATAACGCTTGGAGTAAAAGCTATTGAAAACTCTAAAATGTAACATTTGTTTTTTAACTTTTTAATGGCATGATAAAGTGACACGATAATATTAACATATGTTTCCAGCATAACCCTGGATGTATTAATGAGATATAGATGTATAGGGTCTTTTATTTTTTTTATAAAAAATTACGTTTTCATTTTTTTGTCCGCTGTGACGGTCTACATTTGCAAGGTCACTGGTTAAACAGTTGTCATGGTGATGAATGGACTTTTCACATTGGATTTGATGATACGGTGTGTGAAATATCAATAACCCATGCAAGGTCACTAGTTAAACAGTTGTCATGACTTATTTGACACCCTGTAATTTATAGATGGCATGCTAATTCAAGTAAGCCGAAACAAAAATGAGACGAAATACAAACAGTACATGTACACGTTACAATTCAATGCAATACAATACAGTATGTATAAATACATTCATATTATACGAAACGTTTGTATATCTTAGATTGCGTTTGGCTTAGTTCAATGGTACTTCTGCACTCGATTACGCCAGTTACAGTAACAAAATGTCGGATGCTCGAAAGTACGATTTTCTTTTTTCCTTATTTCACGCTTTGTAGGCAGAATTCCCACATTTGTATCACAAATGTGTGTCAGTCACGAAAGTCTACATGTTTGTGAACAAATAGTTCAGAAGACAGCAGAATCGTTGACTTAATACCGCACTTTTGTTACGTAAACGGAACGGGCTAGTGCAGATCTTAACCGTTTTTGAAGTTTGACGATTATGTTGTCTTCTTAACTGTTTGTTCGTAAACATGTATATTTTCTTAGACATATGATACCGACACACGTTTGCGATAAAAACGTCGTGGAAATTCTGCCTACAACGCGTGAAATAAAAAATAATAAAAATTGCACCTTCGAGGTTCGTGGAGTAACAGTGTAGCTAATAAACATGTTTTTTCTTTGAAATAGTAAAAACAAATAGGTGGCCTCTTATATATAGATTCTCCTCTGCAATTTTACTTTCGAAAAAATTAATATGCCTTAAATTATAGGAGGCCATAGGTTTACTGCACATAAAAGTAATTCACCCGAAACGTCCTGCGTGTACAATATGAATGTATTTTTTGTATCTGTATTTCTTTTGATTGCTCATATTTTAGGTTTGAATGACGGATCGGATAGAGAAAGTAAGATTGACTGTAATAGCCTATGGCAAACTAAATAATATGGGACGGTCTTTGTCCATAATCAATAAACAGAAAAAATGTAAGATAATGTTTCGATGCAAATATATTTCATGATTGTACCAGTTACAATTTCTTTTTTTTCTTATATTATTCAAATTAGAGCTTCCATTGTGCATATTCAAAGATCTGTATATTTTAGTATATAATGGTGTCTGCTAATGTCAATTATCTTTATAATTACGGTTACCAAAGTCAAGAGTTGGAGTAAAATGTTATTATTCAAGTGGTTATAGCAAAATGGAGTCCATGGTTTATTTCCAGGATGGGACGTCTTCACACATTCCGTTCATTGGGTTGAATTTCTTTTCTCCCCACGATTGGTTACATGTTTCCTCCTTCATTGTGTATGACGGCACACACTCATAATAGCTTTTCTCGTCATTGGGATTTGCCAGATACTCAGTTTCCAGTGTCATCTCTGGGCATGATGGTGAGCTACCGCCATTCCTTTTCTGATGCAGTTCCATATATCTCTTCAGTAGCATTCTCATCTCAGCCAATTCGGAGTCATCTTTCAATTTCTCCAGTTCTGAATAAGATAGATAAAAAAATATCAGTACGACCAGGCCCGTACCCAGGATTTGCCAAGGGGAGTTCACTTTTTGAACATTTCCAGGGGGTTAACTTTTTGAAAATTTCCAGGGGGTTCACTTTTGACAATTTTGGTCAAAAAATGGCCAAAATTACTTAAAATGTGCTCAGAATGATGAAAAACTGCATGATTTTGCGAGAATTTTCGCTCGAACCCCCCCCCCTAGCTACGGGCCTGGCTACACTATGAATTAAGGTGATTGTTCAATAAAGCACCTTTGAAATATAATTAAGGCATGTGTGTATTTGCTTGCTTTTTTCAGGGAAGTGTCATTACATTGTCTTCTTTTAGTATTTAACCTGGTAAAAAATCACTGGTAACTCCAGGAAATACTAATATTTTAGGAAACAGGTCGCCCTTATAATTCATTCTAAAAGTTTCTCAACAGCACTAGATTGCTTACAATTCATCTCTGATTCACGTATTACAAGATGCAACACAGCACAAAGATGTTTTTCAGAAGAAAATAAGAAAGTACATTAATAATCTTCATACTTAATTTTGTACGAGAAAATAACATTTGCAGGTTACGCTAAAGCAATATTTTCAGAAATGATTTTTTGAACATGTGCCTTTATTGACTTCTATGTCAACAACCTTAAGGTTGTTGTGTATGTTAGGAATGTTCATCCTCAAAAGAGTCACATGTTATTTTTTACATATTTCTTTTATAAAATGTATAAAAACGAGAAAAACCAATGACAGTGGGTCACTGGATTTTCTTGTTTTTATACATTTAATAAAATAAATATTCTTCACACACATTTCTATCTACATTAGTTTAGTATTCTTTGTGCAAAACTGATAGATGTAGACAATGTGGGTAATGCCGAGTTCATATTTGAAAAATAACGTGTGATTATATTGAGGATTGCATCACTTTTCCGAACACGATATAGAACAACCTTAAAATAAGCAATCAAAAGAACGCAGTATAATGAAGAGATATATTCATATTTTAGATGCTAAACATTTGTATATTTTGGATTACTTGTTGTTTTGATAGCTAGCAAATATGTGGCCTCATGTAGTTATATGCTTTTCAAACATGTTATTTTAAAATATTAGCATGACGGAGACCACGTGTTTACTGCAATATATTGACTCGCAATATTCCATTTTTTAAATTTCAATCAAACATATGTACACGGCATGTGACCTGGACACCCAACCAAGCGGGACACCAAGCGGGACACCCCCGCAAGCGGTTGTAAAATAGTCAATGTACAATGTACATGTAGTTTCAGTAGTATAAACATATTATTCATTTAACATTTCAGGTTAGCAACGCCTATATATATACCATAAACATAAATGGTTCACTCCGAAAACAGAAATCTTAAGGTCTCGGGGTAATTATCAGAAATTTACACCAAACAAGAAATGAAAAAACCATGTGGATTTTTGAACTAAGATAACAGAGTTCTGCTTTAGCCTTCAATCAGTTTTACTACTCCGATATTTTATTTACATGACCAGGATCACAATGGTCATGGTCAAAATGGCCCTTACCATGCTGAAATATCCTTTTTAGCCCTTTGAAAATGCACAGTAAAATTTTAAATGTTTGGAACTACTTTGAATTTAAAACATAAGCAATCAAGGGACCATATTGAAGCAGTATATGTAAAAATAGAAACATTTATACATGTCCTAACTTTTGTATATTTTAGTTTGTTTTGTAGTTGAGCTATCATATCTGTGCCCTCTTATATTTTGTCACTTCTGCCATGTTATTTTCGGAAAAATTAACATGGCTGAAACTCCCTAAATAACCAAAGGACACAGCTTTACTGCACATTATACATTACTATCTTAAATGTACAAAAGTTAGGACAAGTACATATGTTTCTATTTTTTATATAGTGTTGCAATATAGTATAGTTCTAAACATTTGAAATTTTACTGTATACATTTTCCATATCCATATAATATGATATTGCATTTACCAAATAATATTGTCCTTTTTGATGCCTCGCACCAAAGATTGAAATTTGTAACTAGTTATAAGTCTGAATGTAGGCTGTTTTATAATTTTTTCTTACCATTAATGCGTGATGCCTCAGCGAGGTATAACACAGCAACCAAACACACTGCAATAGCGACCTTCATGGCTGGACCCTGGGAGTTAGTATGCAAACACGACTAGCTGAATCGAAAATGCGCAAACCCGACGCGCACACCTGGTTATAAGGCCAGTGATCAGGGGACTCTAAAGGGGGTACACGATGAGGTGGTAACAGGTTTGGTCAAGGAATGTGAATCATGATATGAAAATTTAAGCTGCGTTTTAGAATGCCCGCGGCGCAAGTCAATTGCGTAATATTTATTTGCGTTATCTCTCCGGGTATCACGAAAAAGATCAATAGGCCTTGCGGAGGGAATAACATGGCCACATTTTTTCAAGACAAACATCTCATCCAATCACACTAACACAACATAATTTCGCTGTGACAATCTTGACAATCACACTCGTGCTGCCTTGTCGCTGATGCACCACAGGAGTTCCATTGCAATAAACCAAGGCGAGTTGCAAAATAATTATGTGAGTGTACTGTATGTGCACTTGGATGAGCTGTTTTTGTTGAAAACATGTGACCATGTAACTTGCATCTCTGGGCTTATTGTTCTCTTTAGTGATACCCGGGAGAACTCTTAAATATAGTATTACACAACTGACTTGCGCCACGTGCATTTCAAAAACGCAGCATAAGTCATAGACAACATGTCTATCAAATCTATTCAAGCGCTGGCGCAATGTTTCTAAATGCGGTTTAAAAGCACCATCTTAATTGTTTTTACGATATTTAACTCATGACAGGAGACAAATTAACAAAAATATGAATGTAAAGGCACCTCGTTTGGAGCCCCGTTTACTTCACTGGCGAAATGCGATTATACGGTTCAGTTGAACCCGACACAGTAAGAGGTCCTGGTATTAATTAATTTTTTAAAACTAAGTACATTGTAAAATACCCATTGTGATTCACGGGTCGTTTGTTTTGAGCCATGTACACTCCGGAATGAACACACGAGGGCCATCGCTCAGCCGATTGAGTATTTTGTTCAAAACTTAATACAATTTTGAACAAAATACTCAATCCACCGGGCGCCGGTCGATAAATTGGGCAAATGTGACTCAGGCAATAGCAACGGAAACCTTTAGAATCACAATGGGTCAAAAAGTTAATAAAGAAAATCCCAATATAAGAAAATCCCAATCACCGGGTCTCAACGAATTACCCACCCACCGTGCCTTTGCAACAGGGTGCAAAGACCATAATTATATGGGTGTAGTTAACGCATGATCTCTAGGTTAAAAAGTATGATTAGTTTCAGCCAGTATGGGGTTGGATGTTGTTCATGCACGAACCAATGTTTTTGATAAGGCCATTAATACTTGAATTGTAAAAATCATCGTTCGTTGACTAGTGCTAATCTTCATTTTTGGTGTCCAATAACATATGTACATTTGTAGTTGGAATGAATTTCACGTTCAACTGAATTTGACTTAATGTTTGTATGTGTATGGGTGGTATTTTGGGTGGGATAGGGGGGGGGGCGGTATGTGAAAGCGTGAAACTATGTTTATGTTAAAATTTTCAAGGAATCATATGAGCTAAGGTACTTATCTGAAACAATAATAGAACACAATTGTAGTTATGAGTAATAACCATTTTAAAGGATTTAAATACTTGTTTTGTAATATGTATTGGTATTTTTCAATACCAGGTGGCCAATTCGGGAAAGACATTATAACATGGCAGGGTATTAGAATTTCCTTAAAATTCATCAGTTTTAGAGGTGCAATTTGTATTACCCTTTTGTATCTGATATGTCCAGCAAAAGAAAATATTATCTCTTCAATAAAGGAAAAGATATTTTCACTTTTTTGCTTTTACAGCATTTGGGTTATGGGGAATCTCCCTGACCTATAAGTCACATTTTCCAAAAAGCACCAGATGGCTAATTCGCGGCAGACAACATGTACATAATTACGGTATTAGAAAGTTTCCTTTAACTCGAATATTCATCAGTCTAGAGGTATAAATTAAATTTTCAAAGTTGATCAACATTTTTTAAAATCATATTTCTAGATGTAATTGAACATGTAGATTCCAAACATGATATTACTTGAATTTCTGATGACGAAAATTAAGATTATTTCTACTTGAATCTAGTCTATTGACGGCCGCAAGACTGTGTACCCCCCTCACTCACAACAGGTGAAGAACACAGGGGGGGGGGGGTACATAGTTTTGGAGCAAGACTAGGCGAAGTATTCAAAATATAAACTGAGATTATACAACTCAAAAGGCCTAGAATTTGATTTTAGAGATCTTCTGGATCGCCAAAATTCATTATATCATATAGCAACGCATGAGAAATGGTAACATTGCTAACGATGATTATGGTCGAAAAGACAAAACTAATACATGTGGTCTAGATGTAATAAAATGGTACATTATTTAAAAATCTAAGCCAATGCAAGCAAATATTCCGAAAACAAATAAAAGGGGTTGGAACAAGGACCAAATAGAAAAAGAAATCTTCGTGACTGACAATATAACATCATTCGCGATCGTTGTTCCACTTGTTCCGGTTCCGATGCAGGATAACGCAGGTTGGAAATGCCAGTACTTCGTTCTTTATGAGTCACAGCATAGGGACATAAATGAAAAAGAAATAACAAAGATGATGTGAACGCACCGAAAACCCAGTACATGTTGAAAAGTCGATCGATGAAAAATTCAATTTACTTTTAAAACGTGCTGTTACATATGAACCTCGGGCCTCCTAGACTTCCAATGATGATGATGTGAGCGCACCAAAATCCCAGAACATGTTGAAAAGTTGATCGATGAAAAATACAATTTACTTTTAAAACACATGCTGTGCCACATCACATACATGGTGGGCCAATAAAAATTGGAACATTTTTCTTTTTATTCAGTTTTCTTTATTTTTGCTGTTCAATCCATGAAAATTCAGATTATGGTAAAATGATTATTTGTGAAAGTCTTAAAGATAAAAATATGTATATATGATTATTTTTGGCTTGTCATGGTCTTGATCTGTATTCTGCGTGTGTCATGAAAAATTTCCAAATCAGGTGGGCGAAGGACATGTTAGGGAAACCCTTGCGTTAATTAAAAAAAATGGAACATTTTTCCATCAATTGTAACTTTTCTTTTAGTCATGTATTATCTCCAATACTTCAGGAAATTGAAAAACAATTCATTGTCAACAGCTTGTACAAATATGAATATACAAGCTCAACATTTAATAACTGAACATGTTCTCCACCCACCTTCTAGAGATAACTACATATGTTTTAATTGATGGAAATTGTGTTTAGACCATTTGAAGGGCATATATTGTATGGTATGAAATACTGTATTTTCAGCAATGATGTCTCAAGCAGAGAAAAATTTGGAAATTTTTCATGACGCACAAAGTATACAGATCATGACCATGACAAACCAAAAATAATCATACACACATATTTGTATCTTTAACATTTTCACAAATAATCATTTTACCATTATATGAATTTTTGTGAACTGAAGTGCAATGATAAAGAAAATTGAATAAAATGAAAAATGTTCCAATTTTTATTGGCCCACCCTGTATTGTCAACAACTTTTGCATTGGGGAGTATTAGTACTTATGGTATGGTATTTATTCATGAAATGAATTATGTGAAATGAACCTACAGGTAGTCCATTTAACCTTTCCACCTCTCCCTCTTTTAAGGCCTCTTGAAATGTTTACAAAAATGGTGACATGCGTCAATGGGCCTATGCACATTGTATAGACTCCAATGGTTTATTATTAATTTTCTGGTTAAATTGTGTAAAAACCTGGCCAATTAAGATGGAATTACATGAAAATACCGCGTTTCAACAAATTATTGCATCGAACAATTGGTAACAATATTTCCCATATGTTGATGAATGGAACTGTCATAGAAGTTGAATATTACTATAATGTACTCGTAAACTATGAACAAGGTGACCAGAAAACAAAACCCTCCAAAAATGAAATAACTTCCTTAATACATGTTAAATCAGCTTCATTTTCATGTACAGAAACTACAATATATGGATGACAACGTGAAACTATTTTTTTTGATAAGATTCAATATTCTTCTTGTTATGGTCAATTAAAAATGTGCCCACTTTTGACAGAAAAGAAAATGTAAGGTTTTTGTGTCAACCAAAGGGTTACACATCATTTGTTTAAACAAATCACATTCTTTTGGCTTCTTGTGAAGCTGCATTTTGTGAGTATAGAAGTTGAAATCATTTATGAGAATGTGTCCCAGCAACCTTTAGGAATGGATGCACCGGTCCTTATAAGTGATGTTTTTGGAGCTACGTTTAATGCAATCACACACAGTGCTTTCAGGTGTTTTCATACCTCATTCTAAGAAACCTCCTAGGAAAGATGATCATTTTTTCCATTTAGGTGTTTAAAAGTTCCACTTTCTTCCTCTTCAAACTCACAATTAAATATTTGACTTTGAAAGCACATTTCATGCAATGCTCTTGATTGATCATTCTGCTATCTTAATGATTTCTTGAGGATTAGTCCAACAACATTTTGCACAGCATTTGAGGTGTTCTTGCTCAGAGGCCAGGAATTTCAGTCATCTTTTTACTAGGTGTTTTATCATTCCTAACTCTTCATTTTCCAAGTAAAATATTAAATGAGACTTTGATTTTACGTCTTCTTTGGATTTTTTCTCTGATTTTCTCATAAAATCTCAAGGTAAGAATTTTTCAAAATGTTGATTTTCGGTGTCGATAATCGGGCACATAAAACATTGGTTGATAGGATAGGTATTTAAGAATTTATTTCATTTTTGGATGGTTCTGTTTTTTTCTGGGTCACCCGTATATAGACTAGATACTTGGTCCTAAGATGAACTTTATAGAAATAGTATTACTAAATTATTCTACGCTATGCAACAGAATATCGAGTTTGAATTTTGGCTTCCAATCCTCATTCGGTGGTCACCATCTTTTTTTATTCTACCAGTTGGACAAGTGGCTTTGTTGAATAAATATTTTACATATTTAGCGTGGGAATCGGCCGTCAATAACAAATTCTGTTTTGAACTTTTGGACATTTTACATTAGTTAGGGATTGTATTTTATTGATAAACATTTCAAAGAGCTTTAGAA